TGAAAAATGTTTATAATTTGCTGACAATATTTTGACCTAAAAAACATACTTATGATAATAGAAAAACAGCAGAAAAGAGTATTAGGGGAAAAAATCATATTAATTAAGTTATCAACATCAATTCCTTCTTTGTACATTCTCAATAATATCAGGCTATTTTGTTTGTTTTTCAGGAAGTGCGATGGCAACAAAATGATTTTCCAGGAAATTGTCTAACATCAAATAAAATCAGTAATTTGTGATAGCATCAAGGTGCCTTGTTCATAATCCTTTTAGAATTTGTTAATTTCTTTCCAAGAATTTCTCAACAAACAGTCCATAAATATCTACAATACTATGGATTACTTCGTTCTTGAGAAAATATTTTCTTTCTAAAGGCATTATCCATAAGAAATGCATCTTGTTTCACAGTTACCATTACAGTCCATCAGTATTAATGTGCTGGAAATGTTCCAATAGAAATGTTTCGTCAATAAGAGTGTCTCATACATTCCCCCCAAGACAGTTATGTCCTTTCAAGCATCAGAGAACCTCCAACAATGATGATTCATAAATATTTATTGAGAATGATGTTAAATTTGTTCATTTTCTAATAACAGGTATACTAAATTATTTGAAAATTGAAAGGCAATGACTTAAGGTGAATTGTGAAGACTTTATCTGTATTAGCTGTTCCACTTCCCAAATCTCACATAGTTATGAAAATATTTTTATTTCTTCTAAAAACTATCCTGTTATAGTACTCCCTTGCAGACAGACAAAAAAATGCTATTCTTATAAGATTTAAGTACCGATTTATTTCACTGAAATAAAAATACTATTTCATATTATATGAGGATGTAAAATAATTTACCAAACCAACTTGAATTAGAAATGAAGACATTTGCTACATGTCTGAGACACAGAATCATAAATATTATAAAGAAACAGATAAAAATCTGAGGATATATTGACCAAACGTGTTTTGGGTTAAATGTTGCAAAAAAAAGACAGTCACTGTTCTCAGGATAATTAATATCAAGATCATTAAATATACTGTGAAATGTCCCATAGCATCCACTAGATGTCTCCAATAACTGCCTTTCGATGGATACATTCCTTCCAAAACTATGCATCAAATACTAAAACATGAGCTACATAGGTATTGTGATTTTTCTATAAACATTCTTATTTGTTAAAGCAGATAAAGCTCTTTTAATAAACATACAAAAGGAAAAAAACTTACATTCAATATCAAGGTACATGCTCTTTTGGTGCCCTCCAATTCTACTTGCAGCTTCACAGTCATATCTCCCTGAATCTGACAACTTCACATCTTTAATGTGCAGTGATGAGCTTCCATGCTGCCCTTTGACTTCAATACGGCCGTCTGGGCTCTGTTTACATTGATTCAGGAAAAAGAAAGATTTTATGCTTGTTTGTGCAAAACGATGACCAAATACATAACATTATGTTATTTTCTATGTTTCTCTGGCCAAAAAAAATCATTCCAGTTGCAGAAAATATTTCGTATATAGCTGAGAATAAGTTTTTTAAAAAGCAAATTTTTTAAATTCTCATAACAACGTCATGAAGATTTCATGCCCTCTGCCTCTATAATCATAAATAACATTACATTGCCTCCCAAATAAAACCCCAATCACTCAGCCTGAAGTTTAAAGATCTCCATGCAGTATAACCTTTCTATGCAACCACATTTTACAATTTGGATACCATTAATTTCAATTATTTTGAATTACTTGTGCTGTCCTTGAATGTCCTATGCTTTCTATAAGCACCCTTCACAGACTTGCTGCAAATATTTCCCGTTTTCTCTTCCATATTTACATATCAAGATACTACTATCCTTTCATTTATTGGCCAAATATCAATTTATATTCAAGATAGTCCCTGATTGCCTAAATAAATAATTACAACTTCTTTGAATTCCATACTTTTCTTGGGACATATTGCTTTTACTAAAGTCTTGTTAGAACTTCAGAATTCATCCTGTAGGATGATATTATAGTTGAAGGAATGTGAGAAAAATTTTATGGAACTTCATATAAAAGATACCTGGACTAATTGGACAGAAGCATTATATTTTAATATTTTTACATAGCAAATTAAGTTGTGGTGAAATTTACAAGTAGTTGAGTAAAGAAAAGGTCATCCTTCAGTTACTATTTACTA